GGCTCTCCATCGCCTTTTGCAAATAAACAGGTGCCTTAAGTCATGTATCTTCCAGCCCAGTAAAAATTCTCCAGTGGTTGTTACAATTTACATGCTGGTGTATAAAGTTTGCATTTAAGGGTTTTCCTCTCGACTGTTACAGCCGTTTGATGGTGTGGGAATCGCTCAGGGCGGCAGCTGGATAACGCAGGACCTGCTTTTCACAAAGCCCATTCCCAGTGATTGCGGGAATTCTCTCCCAAGGCTGGACCAAGCGTTTGGTGAGTGGACCGGGATGGTCACCGGCCGCAGCCATGGAAGAGCCCAACACGCACCCCGGATGTCCCTGCTCCTCTGGGGCCACGGCCACGGCCCGGGTCCCTCCTCTCCCCGCAGGTGACGGTGGCAATCCCGGCACGCTGAGCACCGCTGCAGACCCCTGCCCAGCTGGTTTCGTTGCTGCCAGAGACACCGTGGCGGGACCTTGTGCCCGTCCCACCCTCACCCAATGGCTCTCCTCCCTTCCTGACCTGCGCGCCTCGGCGGATCTCGCTGTGCTGGTGGAGCCGAGCTCCGAGCAGATTTAGCTACTGGGGGGGGATTAGTCTGGCTAAGCTGGTCTGCTTGGCATCGTGCTGCTGCGTCTGGCAGGACCTGCTGACGTTTCGGGGCTCGCGGGGGGAGGAGGCCAGCGCTGCATCGTGGTGCTCACCCGGAGCCTCCGTGCTGCAGCGGGACCCTGCTCTGACGTGGCTCCTGTTTGCGGCGTGGATGGGAGCGACTGCCCGGAGCGCGGGGGCAGCTCCGCAGCCCTGCCCGCCAGCTCTGCCCGCTGGCTCTGCCCACCCACCGGCTCTGCCCGCCCATGGCTGGCCGCCCTTTTTGCGGAACCTGGGGCAGCGAGGTGGGGTCAGCATGCGGTGTGCGGAGCTGGCACGGGGCACCTTGTGTGTCCTGGGCCTCGTGGCTGGAGCGGTGGCTCTGGCCCCCACGTGCCCCGGGCTGGGGGCACTGACCACGGGGAGCACCCAGGCTGGGGAGGTGGGGGAGCTCCCTCTGCTTGGCCTCGGCATCACCAGACCAGTGCTGCTCCGCGTCCTCACCAAACCCCTGCCCTGCCTCTTCGCAATGCACATTGTCTACTCCGGGGCTTTTTAAGCCGCGTTTTAAGAGCTCCTAATGTGATAAGCGTTTGCCGTACGGCCCTTCCCGAGCCCTCATTTGCTTACCCGTTGGAAATCTAATACTTGATTTAAGCACATTTCTGCTCCCTCCATTTGTAAGGACAAATGTAAAGTAATTGTTTGATATTGCAGCGGTTTCCTCGGGCTCCAGCTCTAATTTCCCACTAATACAGTGTTGTCAGGGGGATCAATCTAACCCGGCACCTTCTGCCTCCTTAGCGTGGATTGGAAATGGCTTTTCTACTGCGAGGCTGGGATTTGCGAGTCTCGCTGTGAACATTTTTCTCCTTTAAAGGAAAAATCATACAAGAAAATATCCCATCTTCCTGCAGACGGCTGTTAATCCCCCGCTCTCCCTCCACCTGCCCACAGCTCCGGGTGCCCTCGCTGCTGGATCCCCCGTAGCTCCTGTGGCTGCTGCTGGATGACAGTGGAAGGGATGCAGATAGGGCTCTATTAGATGCCCATTAATTACCTCCCATTTTTTCCTATTAGAGCTCGCTGGACAGTAATCACTTCCAGTAAGGCCCCTCAAACTGCTCGGCAGTGGTCTGGCACTTTCCCTGTGGCCCTGGTGCTGCTGACGGACGAGTCTGAGCGGGACTGGCCAAGAATCGCCCTCGCTGTGCCCAGTTCCATGCTGGCAGTGGGTGGAGGGGGCCTGGGGAGAGGGGTTTGTCCCTGCCCTGCCATACCCTGGGCTGTCCTGCCACTGAGCCCATGGACATCTAA